CGCCGGAACGAAGAACGTAGGTGCAGGGACCAGTACCCCCACCCCTCTGACGCCCAGCGTACCACTCACGAAGCTGCTGAGGCGGAGGGATGTCCCGCGAGCGCTGCTGCTGCTGCCGCTGCGTGCGCTGGCCACCACCACCGCCGCTACGCTGCTGGGTACCACCCCGACCAGCTCCACCTCCTCCACCACCACCGCCTCCTCCGCTGCCGCCTCCACCGCCTCCACCTCCGCCGCCTCCACCTCCGCCGCTGCCTCCACCACCACCGCTGGCACCACCACCACCGTCTCCGCCGCTGCTGCCACCACCACCACCACCCCCGCCACTAGTCCCGCCGCCACCCCCACTCCCTCCGCCGCCACCGCCGCCACCGCCACCGCCCCCTCCAGCTCCACCCGCGCCCTTGCCCCCCTTGCCCTTGCTGGAGCGACGTCTCCCAGTAGGGGCAGACGCCGCGCCGACCGACTCAAGACCAAGCAGGTCGGCAGCAGCAGCAGAGGCAACAGAGGGCAGCAAGGGGGAAGGAGAGCACCCCTCAAAGATGGGGGTGCGAGGGTCACCACGAGAAGCACCTACAGCGACTATGCTCTTCTCCGCTGCGAGGAGGGCCTTCTCGAGGAGGTCGACGGTGAGGGTGGTGGGACAGACTGCGAGAAAGTGGTCCCTGACGACGCGAAGGGAGTCAGGGAGGCGCGCGACTACGTAGTAGAGAGCGATGTACATGGGGGGTGGGTTCTAAGCGCAGAACTCAGCAGGAAGGGCGGCGCGGTAGCGAGTGTCACTAGTGCGGAGGTGCGTAATGAGGTCAGCGACAGTGGGAAAGGCAGAGAGGTCAGGAAAGAGGTAGGGAAGCATGAGACGGCTCAGTGCAGCAGTGGCAGGGGAGGAGTAGCGCGCAACGACAGCGTCGTACAAGGTCTGAGCACTCTTGCACTGACTAAAGTGCGCACGCTCAGAGGTAGGGAGGTGGCGACGCACAGCAAGACGTGCAGCAGCATCGCGGGTGGCCCACTGAGAGTGGACAGTGGGATCAGCATCAGCAGCAGGAGCAGGAGAGGCGCCAGAGGTGAGGTCAAAGAGAGAAAGGCCGTCAGCCCTGTCGCACTGTAAGAACAGCTGCAGGTCGTCTAACCAGACCTCAAAATCAATGGCGCGACCCTCAGCGTCAAAGGCTAGGACACTAGGGGTAGCCATGGCGACGACAGCGACGCAGTGCAAGCAGTAGGGAAAGAGCTCGCAGTGATAGTGGGACTGTGCTCACCAGGCAGGGCAAGTCGCCAGCTCTGCAGAAAGGCGGCTCGGCAACCGGGCGGCTCGGGTGCACAGCGGCTCGGCTCCCGGGCGGCTCGGTGGCTGGGCGGCTCGGGCGCAGGGTGGCTTGGCTCCCGGGCGGCTCGGCGGCAGGGCGGCTCGGGTACAGGGCGGCTCGGCTCCCGGGCGGCTCGGTCGTTGGGCGGCTCGGCTCCCGGGCGGTTCGGCTGCACTGCTGCCCGACTGCTGCAGGTGTGGCGGGGGGGCCGCGTGAGAGAGCCGGGGCGGGGACGCGTGAGGGCCGGCGGCGGGGCCGCGTGAGAGCCGGGGCGGGGCCGCTTCAGAGCCGGCGGCAGGGCCGCAAGAGAGCCGGGTAGGGGCCGCGTGAGGGCCGGCGGCGGGGCCGCGTGAGAGCCGGGCCGGGCCGCTTCAGAGCCGGCGGCGGGGCCGCAAAAGAGCCGGCGGCGGGGCCGCTTGAGAGCCGGGGCAGGGGCCGCGTCAGGGCCGGCGACGGGGCCGTAAGAGAGCCGGCGGCGGGGCCTGGAGAGGGCCGACGGCGGGGCCACGTGAGAGCCGGGGCGGGGCCGCAAGAGAGCCGGCGGCAGGGCCGCGTAAGAGCCTGGGCAGGGGCCGCGTAAGAGCCGGGACGGGGCCACGGAAGAGCCGGGGCGGGGCCGCGCGAGGGTAGGCGGCGGGGCCGCGTAAGAGCCTGGGCGGGGTCGCGACAGAGCCGTCGGCGGGGCCGCGTGAAGGCCGGGGCGGGGCCGCGGAGGAGCCGGGGCGGGGCCGCGTGAGAGCAGGCAGCGGGGCCGCGTAAAGGCCGGGGCGGGGCCGCGACAGAGTCGGCGGCGGGGCCGCGTGAGAGCCGGCGACGGGGCCGCGTAAGGGAGGGCGGCGGGGCCGCTTCAGTGGAGGCGGCTGAGCCGCAGGGGAAAAGGCGACCCGAGGGGTCGCTAAAAAAAATCGCGCCTCGGGGCGCGCTTCGGTGGGCCCAAAAAAAACGGTCCTTAGAAGGACCCGCTCTATACCATGTGAGAATAAGCGAACAGGAATGAATGAACTAGCAGTGAAAATGAGTACAAGTAGGAAACCCTAGAATTGTGTACCCCCTATAGGCTAACCGACTGTAGCCTACACAAGCATAACATATATAATGTTTGACAGAAACCAAGGTGTTTCCGGCCCAGTCGCAAAATTGATTTTGGTTCACATTGCGCCTGCATGTGAAACATCGTTCCCGAAACCGACCAATGAACACATCTTCCGACAAAATTTCAGTAGCCCAGACCCTGTCAAGTGATTGTGGTTGCGTTCTGTAGGCACGACAGAGGGGGGGGGAGGCGGTAAATAAGAACTTTCCCCCAACTGCGTTTTTTGGGTCGAAAATGCGGTCAGAAAATGGTTCCGAGCCTCCCATTTACCCTCCAAACGTAAACGAAGGTAAATGGCAACAGAACAGCCATGTACCCTCGTGGATATGAGGATGTAGGAAGCCGCCCATTTCCCCTCCCCACCTTCCTACGCTGGCAAATTTTGCCTCCTTCGCCCCGCCCTTCGAAAACTGCCTTTTCGGGGAGGTGCGATGGAGGGGAAAGGGAGGCGCTGGGTTAGGGAACACCACACCAGAACCCTAGAAAACAATCACTCTTAACCTTGAATAGCCCAAACGGGGACGCAGCAACACTAGGAACAGTGTTGATTTTATCAGAGTAATTACCCTGATTTTAGTGTGATTTCAGACTTTTCACCTTCTGGTCCCTGCAATTTCAGAATTTACGCCTTGTGAACACTCATCCATTCAGACTAACGCTTTAGCGGGCCCTGAAATTCTGTATACACGCTCAGAGTAGTCTTCTTATGGACTCTGTCCTTACATAGTACGAGTTCTGTGGACCCCCCGAATGAGACATTATTGTGAGGATCTAGGATCGAGCTCAGAAAATAGAATGTGAATTGAATGATCACCTGTGTACAACACGAGGCTATATATAGGCTCGACACAAGGCCCCGTAACCAGGTTGTCAGAACATTATAGCTTATACTTTTGTGTAGGCTGTAGTTGGGTATCCCATAGGGGGTACAACACAATTAGGGTTAGTACTTGTACCCACTTCATTCATAGTTCATTCATTCTCGTTTCTTCTCATGGTATCGAGCAGGTTCCCTCGTGGGAACTCATCCTAGGGCCCACCATCGATTTTTTTTTTCCTGCCCGAAGCGCGCTCCGCTTAGGCCCGAGTCGCGCCTCGGGTCCTCTCTCTACTGTCGCGGCCTCCCTCGAGCCGCCCTTGCTCGGCCGTCGCCGCCCTTAGCGGCCCGTCGCCACCCTACGCGGCCCGCCCGCCGCCCTTTGGACGTCCGTCCCGGCCCCGTGCGCCACCCGTCCCGTGCGCCGCCCGTCGACGCCCGTCCCGGCCCCGTGCGCCGCGCGTCCCGTGCGACGCGCCCCGTGCGCCGCTCGTCCCGGCCCCTCGCCGCCGCCCGACGCGGCCCGTGCGCCGCCTATCCCGGCCCGTCGCCGCCCGAGGCGGCCCTCGCGCTGTCTGTCCCGGCCCGTCGCCGCCCGACGCAGCCCGCGCGCCGCCTGTCCCGGCCCGTCGCCGCCCGACGCGGACCGTGCGCCGCCTGTCCCGGCCCGTCGCCGCCCGTCCCGTCGCCGCCTGTACCGGCCCGTCACCGCCCTTTGCGGCGTCACGTGCCGCCCTACCCTACCTGCGGCCCCGCAGTCCTACCTTAGCGGACCCGTCGCCTCACTCAGCGGCCCCACCGCCCTACCTGCGGCCCCGCCGCCTCGCTCTCGGCCCCGTCACCTGCTACAGCGCCGCCGCGACACCCTAGCCGCCCGAGCCGTCTCACCTGGCCGAGCTGCCGACCGCCGCGCCGCCCTACAGCAGCACAGCCGAGCCGCCCGGCAGCAGAGTAGCCGAGCCGCCCAACAGCCGAGCCGCCCAGCAGCAGAGCCGCCGAGCCGCCCAACCGCCGAGCCGCCGAGCCGGTGAGCAGTCGAGCCGCCGAGCCGCCCAGCAGCCGAGCTGCCGAGCCGCCGAGCCGCCCTACTTCCGGGCCGCCCGACCTGCCCAGTCTGGTGAGCACAGCGCCTTTTCACTGCAGTGCCCTCACCCTAGTATTTGCACTGCTAGTCGTCTCGGGTCATGGCTACCCCTAGTGTCCTCGACTTTGACGCTGAGGGTCGGGCCATTGACTTTGAGGTCTGGGTAGATGACCTGCAGCTATTCTTACAGTGCGATAGGGCAGACGGCCTCTCTCTCTTTGACCTCACCTCTGGCGCTTCCTCTGCCCCTGCTGCTGATGCTGACGCCACTCTTCGCTCCCAGTGGGCCACGCGCGACGCTGCTACACGTCTTGCTGTGCGTCGCCACCTCCCTACCTCTGAGCGTGCGCACTTTAGTCAGTACAAGAGTGCTCAGACCTTGTACGACACTATAGTCGCGCGCTACTCCTCCCCTGCCACTACTGCACTGAGCCATCACATGCTACCGTACCTCTTTCCTGACCTTGCTGCCTTTCCCACAGTAGCAGACCTCATTACGCACCTCCGCACTAGTGACACTCGCTACCGCGCTGCACTTCCTGCTGATTTCTGCGCCAAGAAACCCCCCCCCCCCCCATATACATCACTCTCTACTACATAGTCACTCGTCTCCCTGACTCCCTTCGTGTAGTCAGGGATCACTTCCTCTCAGTCTGTCCCACCACTCTTACTGTCGACCTCCTCGAGAAGGCCCTCCTAGCGATAGAGAAGAGCATAGTCGCTGTAGGAGCCTCTCGAGGTGACCCGCGCACCCCCATCTTTGAGGGGTGTCCCCCCTCCCCCCTTCTGCCCTCTGTTGCCTCTGCTACTGCGGCCGACCTCCTTGGTCTTGAGTCGGTCGGTGCGGCGTCTGCCCCTAGCGGGAGACGCCGCCCTGGCAAGGGCAAGGGGGGCAAGGGCGCTAGAGGAGCGAGCGGGGGCGGTGGAGGTGGAGGTGGCGGCGGTGGGGGGAGTGGGGGTGGCGGTGGGAGTGGAGGTGGGGGTGGAGGGGTCGGTGGCGGCAGTGGAGGCGGAGGTGGCGGCGGCGGTGGCGGTGGGAGCGGAGGTGGCGGAGGTGGCGGCGGTGGAGGCGGAGGCGGAGGTGGCGGCAGTAGCGGAGGCGGCGGAGGCGGCGGAGGCGGCGGGGGTGGGGATGGTGCTGGTCGCGGGTCTTCCCAGAGGAGTGGCTCCGGTGGTGGCTCGCGCCAGCAGCAGCAGCGCGGTCGTGAGACCCTCTCCCCTCAGCAGCTTCGTGAGTGGTACACTGCGCGCCAGCGGGGTGGGGGTTTTGGTCCGTGCTCCTACGTTTTGCGCACCGGCGACCGTGCGGGTGAGCAGTGTGGGGGTGCGCACCCCACCCAGCGCTGCTTTGGCCGCCTGACGGACGCATGGCGTCACCAGTTCCCGGAGGCCTCAGAGATCCCTCGCTGGGGCGAGCTGTCTAGGGCGGGTGTTGCCATCTATGATCTTGACTTTGATGCTATTCTCTTTGCCATGTATACTGTGTCTATTAGTGATGAGGGTGACTGTTACCGGTGTTTCCCGCCCGATCCGGGCATTGAGACTGCTGCTCTAGGTACTGGTGAGGCTGCTGCCCTAGGTGCTTGCGACGCTGCTGCTCTAGGTGCTAGTGTGTCTTCGTCCTCAGGTACTGGTGAGTCTGCGCTCTCAGGTACTACGTCGGCTTCGGCCTCCCTCACCTTCACCCTTGACTCTGGGGCGTCTCGCTCCTTCTTTCGGGACCGCACCACACTCACACCGCTGAGTCGGCCGGTGCAGTGTCTCTGGCTGACCCCTCTGGGGGTCCTGTCCTGTCTCGCTTCTCCACAGTCCTCCCGTGTCCGGCGGCTCCCTCTGGCACCCTGTCTGGTCTCTACCTCCCCTCGTTCTCTACGAACCTGGTGAGGGGTGCTGACCTACAGGATGCGGGTGTCCACCAATTCTCCACTCCTGCGCGTTAGCGGGTGACGCACTGTACAGAGGCTAGCACAGGCCGGCACCTGGCTACGTTTACCCGTCAGCCGGGTCGAGCCTGTACACACTGACCACTACGTCTCCTCCTGTTACTGAGTCTGGTAGAGTCGCTTCGTCGGGTCAGGTGTTTGCTGCTGCGTCCAGGTCTGGTCCTGAGTCTGCCCCCTGTTCGTGTCGTCTCTTGTCTCACGAGACTCTCCTCTGGCACCACCGTCTTGGTCACCCCTCTCTGCTTCGGCTCAGAGGCATGGCCTCCCGTCTTCTAGTGTCTGGTCTCCCCCGGTCCCTCCCTCCCCTTCCTCAGGGCCCTGGCCCTACCTGTGTTCCCTGTGTCGAGGGGCGCCAGCGTGCTGCCCCTCACTCCTCCCAGTTTCCTCCGACAGAGGCCCCGCTGCAGACGCTTCACATGGACGTGTGGGGCCTAGCCCGCGTCTGTGGGCAGGGTCACGAGCGCTACTTCTTGCTCGTTGTTGACGACTACTCGCGTTACACCGCAGTCTTCCCCTTGCGAAGCAAGGGTGATGTCACTGAGGTGCTGATCGACTGGATCCGCGCAGCTCGTCTCCAGCTCAGGCAGAGCTTTGGCTCGGACTTTCCTGTTCTGCGTCTGCACTCGAATAGAGGCGGAGAGTTCTCCTCTGGCCTTCTGCGAGCCTACTGTCGTGCACGAGGCATCCGTCAGACCTTCACGCTTCCGGACTCTCCGCAGCAAAATGGGATTGCTGAGCGCCGCATTGGCATGGTCATGGACATCGCTCGTACGTCTATGATGCATGCGGCTGCCCCCCATTTTCTGTGGCCGTTTGCGGTGAGGTACGCGGCGCATCAGATCAACCTTCACCCCAGGGTCTCCAGGCCGGAGACCTCCCCTGCCTTGCTGTGGACGGGGAAGGTTGGCGATTCGTCGGCGTTCCGGGTCTGGGGATCTCGGGCGTTTGTCCGCGACTTGTCTGCGGACAAGCTGTCCCCTCGTGCTGCTCCTTGCGTCTTCCTGGGGTTCCCCCCTGACGCGCCTGGGTGGTAGTTCTACCACCCCACCTCTCGCCGTGTTCTGTCCTCCCAGGACGTCACGTTTGACGAGTCGGTCCCCTACTACCGCCTCTTCCCCTACCGCACTCCGTCCCTCCCCCCGCCCCCCGCTCTTCCTTGTACCAGGTCCCCCCCCCGGTAGACCCCCTCCCCCCTCAGGGTCCTGCCCCTTCAGGTGTGTCCCCAGGTAGACGCAGTCGAGCCTGTTGAGGTCACTGGTGACTCTGGTGCTACTGAGGGTGCTGAGCCTGGGGGTGCTGAGACTGGTGGTGCTGAGCCTGGGGGTGCTGGGCCTGGGGGTGCTGAGCCTGGGGGTGCTGAGTCTGGGGATGCTACGCCTGTGGGTGCTGAGCCTGGGGGTGCTGAGCCTGGGGGTGCTGGGCCTGGGGGTGCTACGCCTGGGGGTGCTTTGCCTGGGGGTGCTAGGCCTGGGGGTGCTGAGCCTGGAGGTGCTTCGCCTGGAGGTTCTCCGGGTGCTTCGTCTCGCCGGGAGCCACTCTCTCCACAGGAGCTGCACGAGTGGTTTGCTCGGCGCTGGAGCCGTGCTGCTGGTGCTGGAGGTTCTTCGGCTAATGAGGGTGCTGCTGTCGCGGGTCCCGGAGGTGCTCGTACTAGGAGTACTGGAGCTGCTGGGTCTGTAGGTTCGACTTGAGCTGGTGCTCCTGAGGGTGTTGGCGCTGAGACTACCATTGGCAGTCCTTCTGGGGGTGCCCCTGGTGCTCTTGGAGGTTCTGGAGCTGCTGGAGGTGCTGCTGGAGCGGGTGCTCCTGCTGGGGGTACTGGTGCTGTCCCTGCTGTTTCTGGCATCGCTTCACGGCCTCGACCGTACTTCGTTCCACTCCTGCAGCAGGTTCTTGGTCTTCCACCTTCTACTAGTCCTCCTCCTCCCTTAGAGGGTCCATAGCCTGTCCCGTCACAGTCACAGCTACAGCCTACCTCCCCTTTGCCTGCTCCTTCTCCCTACGCTGGTCCTACCGGAGGTCTTAGTGAGCGTCGTGAGCCTGCGTCTTGCCCTACGTCGCCTGTCCGTCCTACTCGCGCTAGTGGTCGTGGTTCGCGTCCGCGTCCTCCTCCTGTCCCTGGCACGCACTGGATGTCTCTGCGTCCGTCTACTGCTCCTCTGCGTTCCCTTTTGCCTTCTCCTCCTGAGTCCTCTCTTCCTGCTCTGGCCGACCCGGAGTCGGACTCTCTTCAATGCTGCCAGTCCTACTGTCACGCTTTTTCTTGCTACTTTTGTCACTGACCCTTCCTTTGAGTCCACTTCTGTGTCTGCCCTCGTTGCTGAGCTCGTCGACTTTGCTGCTCGCTGTCGTCTAGACTACGCTGCTAGTCTTGTCACTGAGTCGAGTCTGTCTGTCCTCCGTCCGTCGGGGGTGAGTGTGCCCTTGGCACGGACGTCCTTGAGGACAGGCACGAGGAGTTCCAGTGTCTGGCAGCTGCTTCACCTCATCTCGTGTCCGTACTGCTTACCCCTGAGGGAGACCCGGATGCACTTGACATCCCGACTTCGCGCTCTTACGCGGAGGCAATAGAGGGTCCCTACTCCTCTCAGTGGCAGGCAGCTATGGATGCAGAGATGGCTTCCTGGAAGTCCACAGGCACCTACGTTGACGCTGTCCCCCCTCCTGGGGCGAACATCGTCAGTGGCATGTGGATCTTCAGGGTGTAGCGGCCGCCGGGTTCTCCGCCTGTCTTCAAGGCGCGTTACGTTGCTCGTGGCTTCAGTCAGCGGCAGGGAGTTGACTACTTCCTTCTCCCCCACCCCGAAGATGACCACTCTTCGGGTACTGCTGCACGTTGCTGCTCACCGTGACTACGAGCTGCACTCTCTCGACTTCAGCATAGCTTTCTTGCAGGGCAGCCTGCACGAGGAGATTCTGGCTGCGCCGCCCACCTGGCTTCACTGGGACTTTTCCTCCTGGCACCCAATTGAGCTTCCGGCGGCCAGTCTACGGTCTTCGCCAGGCACCGCATGAGTGGCACGACACATTGAGGACTACACTTGCGGCTCTTGGGTTTGCTCCTTCTACTGCCGACCCGTCGCTGTTTCTGCGCACCGACACCTCTCTGCCGCCGTTCTACATCCTCGTGTACGTCGACGACTTGGTCTTTGCCACAGCTGACACTGCTGGACTCGCCTACGTGAAGTCTGAGCTGCAGAAGAGGACACACGTGCACTGACCTGGGTGAACTGCGCAGCTACCTTGGCTTGCAGATCACCCGGGACAGAGCACGCCGCACCATTACCCTGACTCAGTCACACATGGTGCAGCAGGTCCTTCAGCGCTTCGGCTTCACGTACTCCTCGCCTCAGGCCACTCCTCTGCCTACTCGCCACTCACTCTCAGCTCTGCCATTCGGATGAGTCCGTAGATTCGAGTGGCCCGTATCCAGAGCTTGTTGGCTGCCTCATGTACCTGATGACCTGCACACGACCTGACCTTGCATACCCTCTTAGCATTCTTGCACGCTATGTTGCTCCTGGGAGACACCGACCAGAGCACATGGCTGCAGCGAAGAGGGTGTTGCGCTACTTGTGCAGTACGTCGGGCATGGGGCTAGTGCTTGGAGGGCGGAGTCCAATGGTCCTCACTGGGCACGCAGACGCTTCTTGGGCTGACGACCAGGCTACGCAGCGGTCGTCACAGGGTTACACCTTTCAGCCTTGGTTCCGGCTCTGTTTCGTGGCGGGCTACTTGCTCGTCTTTTGTTCTCGGCTCCAGTTGTGAGTCTGAGATCTACGGTGGGGCCATGGCTGCCCAGGAGCTTCGCTGGCTCACCTACCTGCTGACCGGCCTTGGAGAGCCGCCTCGTTCTCCTCCAGTCCTGTACGTAGACAACAAGGCCATGCTGGCCTTGTGTCGAGAGCAGAGACTGGAGCACAGAACTAAGCACATTGCTCTTCGCTACTTCCTTGCTCGTGAGCTACAGCAGCGTGGTCAATTGCGGCTTGCGTACGTGGCCTCTGAGGCCAACACTGCTGATGTTTTCACCAAGGCACTTCCGCCTTGTGATCATCAGCGCTTCTGCACTCAGCTGGGTCTTGTCCCTGTCTTGCCTCACTTGCTCACCCCTTGACCTTGCTTGTACTGTTACATATATATATTTACCTGCTCTTGCTTGTCTAGTCTTATATATACATGTACTCCTGCATGTGAACTGGCCTTGTGGCCTTGAACTTGTGCTCAGAATGTGTGGTGACGTTGTGATCCACCCTGAGCTTGCTCTGCTTTGCTTTGCTTGACTGGTCTTGTGACCCCTTGTTCTCCCCCACTTTGCCTATGGGGGTGTGTCAGAACATCATAGCTTATACTTTTGTGTAGGCTGTAGTGGGGTATCCTGTAGGGGGTACAACCCAATTAGGGGTTAGTACTTGTACCCACTTCATTCATAGTTCATTCATTCTCGTTTTAATTTTCACAGCAATCACCTGCCGCTGAATCTCCTTTTTTAATCCTTCTGTGTACACCTGGATTTTTTCGCCTTCGGTCAGGTCGGTGATGCAGTTGAACAGTGACTCCATCTGCTGCGTGTACTGTGCTACACTGCTGTATTGCTTGTTGAGTGATGCTACCATTCGCATTCACGTCTGTCTGCCTCCCATCATATGTTCGTGTGTTGCATGCGTGTTGTGAGTGTGTGCAGAAATTTGTGTTTTGTGCGGTTTGGGTTTTCTGAGTGTGTGTGTGTGAATGTTATTTGGCTTGAGCAGATATCTGAAGTGACTCCTCTGCTCAAGAGCTTTCCGAGGAACCAAGTATCGCTTCAATCGGAGCACGAACAAGAAAGTTACGAACGTTGGAGTTCGTATGCTTTTGATATTTGGTTGTGGTGACTATGGGAAGTTGTGGGGTTGACTCAATATGCGGTACAGACTTTTGAGGGTTGGGAAATTCGTCTTTTCTACTGTAGTTGCTGCCAAATGGTTGGGAGAAACCAAACCTGGCTGGCAAGTGTGGCCAAGTTGGGTTGAGGTGGATTGTGGAGGTTGGGATAGTGACAAAGGTCAAAGTTGGGTTGCCTATGGGGAAGGGAATTGTATGGCATGGGGTTTCCTTGGTTGGAGACTCTCTTGGGACCTTCCCTCTCGTCCTCCTCATCTCTTCCACCTGGTTTAGTGCTACTCCAAATTCTCTTGTGTGAACTTGTGTGAACTTTGTGATTGAGTTAAGATTCTATGGCAGCATACCCCCTAGTGCGCCGAAATTGATAGCTCAAGAAAGACTTCACCTTTTCGCATGATTCAACTTGGGAATTGTAGCCACGGAGTAGAGCTACAACATATTCGAGTTTGATGAAGTTTTGACTGTGAACTTTTTGTCGACGGCGTTTCTTGTGAACTCGACTTTTCGGTTCAGAAACTAGGCCCAACGATGTTGAGATATTTTGGCTACTAATCTTCATAGACTCCGTCCTCAGTCTCTAACAAGTGGTATCAGAGCTGATTAAGGACTTTGTGGAGAGTCTACTGAAGTGTGAAGACCCTCATAGACCCACCATGGCCTGTGGGCGTGCCTAAGTGGAGTTTTGGAGGTTGGATGTGACTTCTGATAAGGGGAAACTCTGCCGAAATTTCGTTGGCGCCGACACTTGTGAAGATTGTGTGGATCTACATTTTGACCAGCAAAGGGGGAGCTGAAACCTCTGATTGGGAGCAGAGGAGATGAATCAAGGGAGTGGAGATGCAGCTGAGAAGAGGAGTGAACCGCCACAATCCAAGATCGAAGCTTTGGATGGCTCCAACTATGAGGAATGGAGCGGGGCGGATGCGGAGCGCCTTCAAGCGCTACAAGCTACTGAAAAATTGCAATGGGAGAGGAGAAGATGCCGGGGGAAGGAGATGCCCGCGATCGGTGGATTGAGAAGAGCACGGTGCTGTACGACCTCATCCTCCAATCGGTCAACAACGACATGTTCCAGCACATCAAAGATTTGGGTGGAGTTGGATGATTCCGGACCAAAGGCATGGAAGCTGCTACGCAACGTGATTCAGCC